GTTTCTCTTCTTTCTCATCTTCACCTTTCAAATCTTGTTCCTTGGCTGGATCAGTCTACCCTTACATTTCCCATTCTAGCTTCTAGGCCTTCTTCTTCCCACTACCTATAATCTGGTTCATCATTTGTCTTGTCTGTGACTATCCTGTAGGTATCTGCCTTTGCTCTCAAGAAGTTAGAGTAGTTGTTCATATTTTCACTCATGGTCTCTCTCCACTTCTCCTCCTCCTATTTTTTTCCCATTTTCTTTTCTCTTCTCAGTTGGGATGGCCTGTCACTCTTTTCAAGTCCTTTTTTAAAGCTTACACAGTATTTAGTATATCTGGGCATTTTCTTCTACTCTCGTCTCAGTCATGTTGAGCCTCACTTCTTTGCCTGCAAGCTACACAGTGTCTGGTCACCATGGTTTTTATTTTGCATTCTTATCTTGTCCTTGAGGTTCATTTGCATTTAGTTGGTTTCCCTGGAACCACGTATTCCCTTTGAGAATTCATACATACATCTTTTCTGGTGAACTTCACTTCCCTTTCAAGTTGGGGTGCATCTCTGAATGACACCATATCTTCTGGCATTTGGACATGGGAAGAGAGCTCACTTCACACCGATATGCTCAAATTTCTGTCTGTTTATCATGCATGTTCCCATTTTCTACCTCTTCTGGTGGATCAGTTGGTCATGATTGACCAGAGAATTTTACAGTCATTTCTTATATCACTTGTCAAGGGGGCACCTGCTCCTGGAGTCTTTGCTTTTGGGTGTTGGATTTTTTCTCCTGAATTCTTTTCCATTCTGTTCTTCTCCTCATTGTCATGTACTGGGGCATTGAACCTGGTATCAGATCACCTGTGTTGGCCAGGTTGTGGTTTGCCCATGATGTTGTCTCTCCTACCCCAGTGTTTTTCACTGGTTTTGCTTTTGGTTGGTGTCAGATTAAAAAAAAAATATATATATATATAAGTTCTTCTTTTTGCCAAATAAATGGCTTTTACTTATATTTCTTAATAGTATAAATATATATTATGTTGTTGTTGGGCTTTGGACTCTTCTACAGCAGGTGTCTGTGACTTGTTTGCAATAAATTCAACAATGAATAAACAGCACACACTTTACTTGTTTTCAAATA